ACTGATTGGAGGACAAGAATGTGATATATTGCCAATTGATCACAAAGATAAAAGTTTATTCTAATAAGTATAAATACAGCATGTGCAGTGCAGGAAAAGAATGCAGATTGAAAATTACAGAAAGAGAGTACTGTGCAGTGTCTTGGGAGTTCTTTTGCTTGCCATTAAATTTGTACTATGTGGTTTGGTGCCGAGTACAATGAATAGACAGAGTGCAGATGCACATGTGCGGCAAGTGAAGGAGATAAGTGGCACAAATTCAACTAGAGAGCATGTAATGAAGAGTAACATATGCTGTAGAGAAAAGAATGAAGAACAGGTAGATTGGGAATGGGCTAATAAGGACCCTGCTATATTGGACAATAGGAAGCAAGAGTTAGACAGACCAGACAGTAGAGAAGATGCAGCAGAGAGTAAATGCTATAAAACAAACAATAACTCAAGAATGAAGAGAACTGAAGAGCTGAAATCTAATCCAGACGCAGTTGACAAATACATAGAAAGATATCTTGAGATATTCCCGTGGTAGATGGTGCTGTTTTTATGAAAAAAGAAGAAAAATTGTTTTTAATTAAATTATGGATTTATTCAGTGGTTATTTATGATGTTTATTAGTGAGATAGTGTCCACTTTTATCAAGTGATATATTTTCAAATTAATTTTTAATTTTATGCTAGGAAATAGGGTGGAAAAACAAAAACTAAAGATAGTTCTGAGTATGGGCGTAGTGGTGCTTTTTCTCTTTATTGAAGGCTGTAGAGGAAGTACATTTGACTTCGATAGCATGTGCAGTAGTGCTAGTCCATGCAAAGAAGAAAAAAGAAAAGCAAACAAGATAGAAAGCTCAAGTATTGGCTCCTCTAACCAAGTTATGGAAAATAATGGCAATGCAAAGAAAGAAGAAGATTTGCCAGAGAAAATGTATTCAGAAGAAGACCAAAAAGAAATAGAAAAACTAATTAGATTAAAACAAGACCTTATAGAAGAGAATGAAAGAATTATAAAAGAAAAACAGAAAGAAATAGAAGAGATAGATAGAAAGCTTGGAATCATAGAGAGCTATAAAGAACTATTAAAATTAAGTATGAAGAACACAATAAAAGAGCTAGAACAAAGAATGAATAATATACTAAAAGAGCTAAAACAAAGAATGGAGGAAAGAAAAATGAATGGAGGAAAGAAGGAAGAATGAATGAATAAAGGAAGAAATAGAGAGAAGGCTGCCAGATCTAGTAGTAAATAACACAAAGCACTGCACAGCCAGCAATATTAATCAGCCCTTGTCTCTAGTACCTCTATTCTTCGAGAGCAAAAACGAGCAATAAAACTCTTTTCTTCTTATTCTGTTTTCTGCTTAAAGAGCCCAAAATATTTTTGCTCCATGAAAAAAGAAAAAAAGCCAACAGTCGTTGAATCAAGCAAGAGACTTCTTGTTATTTCGCCCTCTCCAAATAACCCAGCGCTCTCTCCGCTTATCAGCTTGTTCTTAAACCTGCTGCAGAATTCGGTTAAATACACAGACAAAGATGGAGTGTACCAGCCAACTGCCTCAAACACGTCTGTCTCCAATGGGCGGCTTGAGGGGCTGATGAAGAAAAAAGAGTGCTCGCTTTTTGTGTACTTGTACTGCAACAAAAGCAACGAGCCAAGAATCATCATAGGAAGAACACACGAATATTCAATAACTGATCTAGTGCAGTACAAGGTAAATCACGAAGTCAAAGATGTAAACATGCTTAGAAATATGCTGCACATTCTTCTCCTGCACAGAGACCCGCACAGCACAGATGCACACAGCCAGAACATGCTGCTAGATCTCCTACGAGACTCAATTCCCCCGGCTGTTGGCCTGGGAGTGATAAAGTACGGGCTGGGAATAAACGTAGAGGAGAAGACAATCACTCTGGATCTGCTGGAGATAGAAGCATCGCCTTTCAAACTGGTCCATATCCTCGGCCCAATCACCCTTACAGTCCTTGAAGAGCACAGAATGAAGCTGCAGCAGCATAAAGAGGCCAGCAAGTCTGTAAGACAAACGGAAAAGAAGATAAAGAACGTAGAAAAAGGGCCCTTAAATAGCAGAATGGGAGTGCTGCATCTGGAGAGACAGGATCTCAGAGAAGTGCAGCTAAGCAAAGGCAGAGCGCTCAGAGGAAGAAAATAGACCCTATGCAAATGAGCTGTTTGTCTCCTATTGCACACTAACCAGAGAAAATAAAAAATCACACAATGACAATTTCAGTTCAGCCGATGTATTTTAAAAAGGTGCAATGTGTAGCACTATAGTAAGAGGAAGGGCATGCATGCTGCTCCATCTCTTTCTGGCAGTTGGCAGTGAATGCATTTCTTTTTTGCTTTTGCAGTAAATAATTATTTGCTGGCCAACTGAATTATTCTTTCAAATATTTTTTTTAATTTTACTACCCAAGTAAATGGTACACGGAAAGAAACTTGTCATTGATGCAAAGGGTCATATAGTCGGAAGACTAGCTGCCTACGTAGCTAAGTCGCTAAGAGAGGGATACAGCGTAGTTCTGTTGAGGGCTGAAGGAACCATCTTTTCCTCGCCCATTGATAGAATGGTAAGTATATATAAAGACAAAAAGAGAAAGAGATGCCTTGTCAACCCAAAGAAGGGGCCATTCCACTACAAGGAGCCATCAAAGTGCCTCAAGAGAGTAGTCCGAGGGATGCTTAACTACAAGGGAGCCAGAGGAGCTGAAGACTACGCCAGACTGAAGGTGTACGATGGGATTCCCATGGAGTACGAGCTGGTAGAGAGAGTCGTTGTAACTCAGGCACTAGCAGAGACAAAGCTAAACCCAGTGACAAAGACAAGCACAATGGGCCAGCTGTGCGAGCGCATGGGATGGACCAGTGCAGGGCTTCTGGAGAAGTTTGAAAGCGAGAGACTGAAGAGAGTCGCAGTTGCCGAGAAAGAAAAGGAAATGAAAAACCAAAAGAAGAGCGATCTTGTCTCCAGCGATGCATTCAAAAGGGAACTAGATAGCATTCTTGCCAATATCGAATAAATCAAACTATTGCTATTCTTTTTATTTTTAGTATCCATCAGATCTATTTTTATTCCAATCTCGTGGATTTATGATTACTTCTCTGCTAGACTGTTTCTAAATTGTGCTAAATTATCTCAAGTTTGCTCTCATGCTTTATCCCCGCTAAAACTTTTTCCTTCCATGATCCAGCCTTCTCTTTTACTTCTTGGTCAGCGCGCTTAGCTCTTTTCCGAGCTGTCTTATGCTTCCGAGGATCTGTGCATGCTCCGTTGGAATTTCTCTTATCTTCGAATAAACTTTGCTCGAGCTGTACTGCAGGCCTGTTCTTGGACACACGTACTTCGCAGGAAGGCCTGTTATATCGCATAGCTGCAGCTGCGGCTCCACAGAGACCCTTGTGAAGAGGGAGGCGTACGAGGGATACTCTGCTGCTATTCTTGTCTGCAGCTGTTTGAGTGTTTTGTTCTTCTTTTCTTTCATTTCTCAATATTTGCTAAAATAAAACCATCGAAATACGCTAGCTCATTTGCAGCAGTCTTTCTTGAAAAACTCGAGCAAAATGTTTTAGTGCACAGGATGGGAGCTACTTTGGCATTTCTATGTTCTTATTTATATTTGGTATTCTGATCAGCTTGTTGTGCATGTCCATTGATGCCTTTACCTGGCAGCCGAGACGAGAGGTTGCAGTGAGGAGTTTTGCTGTATCGAGCAGATCCTCCTCTCTTTCCGTTATTGTGCTGCTGTGTCTATCGTACACTTCTTTATCTAGCACCACATGGCACGTTGTGCATGCCAAAGACCCCTCGCAGGCTCCTCTCAATGGAACACTCGAATTGGATGATGCAGCCTCCAGCAGGGTAATGCCCTCTGAGACAACCACCGGAACTACTGCATCTCTAAAACCAAAGAGCAGCTTGACGAGTCCCATATACAGAAATAGAAAAATAAAATATTAAAGCCATCTATTTGCTCTGCACTTCAATGGCAATACAAGTATTCATTGCAAAATTTATTCGTAGCCAGTATAGAGAGTGTAGTAGCACAGAACACCAGATGAAAATTGAACCAAATTTCTCCCAACTGATAAGATAATCAAAGAATCAATCCATACGAAGAGAGGGGTGGCACGTGGATTGTTCTGCTATATTATGTGTATTAGCATGTAGTATATACATAGTAAGAGTAGCACTAAGCCATTTGTGAAGTTGATTAGCACGTCTTCTGTTTTTCCACTGATCTCATAGATGGGATTAATGCTTAGAAATATAACAGCGGACGAAACAGCCATTATAATTCCCATCCTAAGGAGCGCCATGCCCTATAAAATATAAAATATAAAAATAATTAGAATGCATGGCTAATGAGATTTATTCAACTATCCTGTACTCTATTGATATTCCAGCTGTTTCTGAATTTCTCACAATCCGGTACAATTGGCCTCTTTTTCCTGCGTAATATTTATTGACGGGGTCCTCCATGAGAATTTTCTTGAGCTGCGCCTCTCCTATTTTTCTCTCTTTAAGGACGCCTTGTTTTTCTTCTTCGCTTAGAAGAATGTGTTTGGAGACATCCCTGTGCTTGGTTATATTGAACAAGAGCTCCCTTACGTAGAACAGCTCCAAGTCGTAGTCCTTTCTCGACTCGTCCAGCGCCTTGAGGCTGTGCGCTTTAAGAGTCTCTTTGCAGACAATAATTCCGTTGTGGATGTTTTGTTTTCCAAGAGTGGAAATGTAGAGTTTGATATCTTTTGCCTTGAAATACGCGCTGTCTGGGAAGAAGACAAAAAGCTGCTTTCCTGCAATGGTGCTGTGCTGGAAGAGCATCGACAGCGCGTGTTTGCTTCCCGTGGTCACCAGTATCGTATACTCGCTTTTAAATGCGTCTAGGGTCATGTCTAAATCAGAGTCAGAGACAACGTAGCCTCTGTCCTTCATCATTTGGTAAATTGTCTTCTGGCACAGCCACAGTTTGCGAAGTTCTTCTTGGTCGCACATGCAATAAAATATTTTATTATTCCACGACATACATAGGAAGTAATAACGGACACTGAAATAGAGGACGCATGCAAGAGTGTGCAAGAGCAGTAGAAGGCGCATATTCTGCAATGTTTATGATACGCACAGTGTTTATACGTTTTTATCTTGGAGCTATTTCTTATCTTATCTATTTCCATATTAAGACACAGCGTTTGTATACTCGCACAAGAAACCATGAAAGCACCGTAGCAATCATGCGATTTGGAAGTGGAGTGGATATTTCTGCGCTCTGCGATGGCGGGGCTACCTGTGCTAGGAAATATTTACCAGCTGCAGAGAGTAAATTCTTTTTATTTTTTTTTATATCCTTGCAAGAATGCACATTCCAACAAACGAAATAAAGGAAGTCCAGAGATTCATATTCGACAACGGCTGTATTGTAGTTGAGCACAGCAGAACTCTCAAGCCACACCCTCACTTTGATATTTCAAATCTTAAAGTTATGAAAATAGTTAGAAGCTTGGTGTCAAGAGGATGCTTAGATAAGTCTTTCGCATGGAAACACGGATACTACACACTTACTACAAAGGGAATAGAATACATCAGAAGAAAGCACTATCTGACAGAAAATGACTATCCATCGTTATACGACTCAAACCCCCTGGCAGAGAACAAGCAGGTAGAAGCAGAGGCAGAGGAAATAGTATTCAAAGAATAAATATACATTCTAGTTACCGCTCTTATCTTTATGGATTTCTTCTGCTAGAGCCGCTGCAAATTTAAAGCGTATTTGTTTATTTAAAAGTGTCATTTTTTATTTGGACACATTTTCTCTTTGTTTATATCCGTGTTTATGACTTTTCTACCTTTCTTCTAAGCTTGCTTATTATCCTTTTTAGTCTACTGTTTATTACCTTGGTTGGCACCGTATCTTTATACTTGATTAGGATGGGGAGGAGAACAGATAGAAGACCTATGAGAATAACGGAAATATGGAAGAGAGAGTATCTGTAGTAGTTGTATAGGAGAAGATCCAGCTGGTAGTTAGTAAACTCGATGTTCTTATTGTTGTCTATGACAAAGTCGCATTTCTTTCTTTTGTCCACAATGGGTATCTGCGCACTAAGAATCTCTTCTATGTTCTTTTTAGAGAAGACTCTGCTGCTTCTCTTTCCCTCTGATGCGCCGTACTTACTTTCTATTCTTTCTTCCTGTGTTTTTGGCCCGCATGTCACCACCACAACTTTGTCGAAATACTCTTCCAACTCGCACTCGTATAGAAACGGCACTTCTACGAACACCACCTCTTTGCATGCAAGTCTGAAAAAGATTTCTCTGTTTTTTATATATTTTACCAGATGCAGAGCCACCTGTCTCTTCAAAGTGTTTTCTTTTTTGGATAGCTCTGTGCACAGATTGCACTTAGATAGGCTATCTATGCTTTTTAAATAGCTGAACACCTCGCTCTTTCTTACCACGGGGTATCCTTTCTCTTCTATGTACTTCATTGCCGTTGCGCTGCCTGTGCAGAGCCCTCCTGTCACTCCTATTATCTTCATGCAAATAAATAAATATGTATCTAAATAGGAAAGATAAGACAGAGATAGCCATAGAAACAAAACAAAGCAATGTATCACTGAAAATAAGCAAAAGAGAGAACAGAAGCACTTAAGAGCGATCTAAGAATGCAGCTTTAGGTATATCGTATCCTTTATTAAATTTATCCGAATATTTTCACACTTCTGCAATTTTATTTAGCACTTTTTATTAGCACTCCTGATGCACATCGTAAGAAAAGAAGAGCTCCCATCAACGCAGGAGTACTGCATAAACAATTACAAAGAGATGAGCATTCCCACTGCTGTCATTGCTTCTGCTCAGACAAAGGGGAAAGGAAGAGCAAATACGAATTGGATCTCATCAGACGGCTCCCTCACTTTTTCTGTTCTTCTCTCCATGAAAAACCACCTCGTTAACACGCCCATTATTACATCAAATATTATTCGAAAAATACTGGCATCGTACGGTGTGTGCGATGTGCTGATTAAATGGCCCAATGATGTATACATGATGAAGGGCGGAGCAGAGTACAAAGTAGCAGGAGTGCTCTCCAACATGATAGGAAAGTCAGATGCAACCATAGAAACAAGCGAGTACATCAGCATACTCGGAGTGGGAATTAACCTAAATATCCCGAAAAAAACAGGAATGAGCGGCTACAAAAGCGTTGAAGAACTGTCAGGCATACAGATAGATAAAAATGAGATGTTTGACAGGCTGCTGGAGGAGATAGAAAGAGTATTCATGCAGGAGAGTGCACAGAACAAGGAGTACTCTAATTGGAGCAACTATTTTCCATACAACTACATAATGTACAACGATAAGCCATGTTTTATTCTGAGGATAGAAGACAGCCTGACCATACAGGAAGAGAGCGGAAATACTCTCTGTCTATCTGCGGATGAGTACTCCTACAACAGACAGGAGAATAGAGTGCATAGGAAAGCCTGCATATAGAAAACAGAGCGATATTTACAATAAAACTATCTAATTACACCAGCGATCTTACCATTTCCTATGCAGTCTATCTGATCTATTTTTTAATCCATCTTTAGCACGGTTTATTAGCCAAGTAGTGCAAGAGTGATTGTTTGCTATATCTCCAAGAAAAATAAACTAAACGTTTTCAGATGGTAGATTGTCTTCTTCTGCACTGCTATCAGCTATCTATTGACAATATTTCCTAATAAGTACACATTTTTGCATTTTAATAAAACATTAGAGCTATTCTGTCATCTTATGCGCTACAGCCTAACTAGAGGGGTTCTTCTGGCGTTCTTTTTCTTGCAAGCTGGCTTTCTTCTTAAAAGGCAGTGGAATATAATCCAAGAATAATAATTAATTTATTATTCCAAGGGATGCAGGATAAGATGCCAATTAAAATGAAATACAAAAAACAGGAACACGTATCAATGGAGAAACTGTCGGCTTTCATTGCTGCGTGCAGGCTGAGAAAGAGCGCAGCCGCCTTGGCTGATATATCAAATGCCAAGTCCATACACAGCATACTTGTGGTAATATCAGACACAGAGAAGAAAGAAAAAGAAAAAACACTGGACTACGGAAATGGAAAATTCAGTGCTCCGCTCAGAGAATGTCCTCTGTCAGAGGATATCCCTATTTATATCCATGCAACAAGGAGAAAAACAGTGAAAAAGAACAACAACAACCAAGGCAGCACTGCACTGACAGAAGAGAACATTCAGAAGTATCTTATGGAAGAGATAGACTCGCTATACACCGAAGGAGTGGATCACAGACTGTACACTATTCCCATCTCCGAAAAGAAAATCTTTTACAAGGAGTACAGTTCGCTAGAACTACTAAACGAAGTGTCTCAACAGAAACCACTTGTGGTAAAGAAAATAGAAAAAGAACCAGCAAATGAGACAGATAGCATAGAAGAGAATAGTCACTACTACGATGTGGTATTGGTTAATAAGAGAGAAATGGTGACTTACTACAAAAACACATCCTATAGCATTCTTGCGATAGACTGCGAGATGGTGCTAACAGATCTGGGCACTGAGCTAGCCAGGATAAGCATAGTAGATGGCAGCAAAGCAGTAGTTTATGATCAAATAGTAGAGCCATCTGGCAGGATAGTGGACTACATCTCTCAGATCACAGGAATAACAGAGAGCAGCTATAAGACAAAATGCATGTGCAGAATTTGCAAGCCATTCAGAGATAATGCAGAGATAGATATAAGTACAAGCGACAGCAGAATAAGCCACACGGGAAGCATCCCATACGAGGCCCTTCTGTATGACCTTTCTTCCATCGTAGGTGCGAACACTGTGCTAGTAGGACACTCAATATCGCACGATCTGATGGCCATGAATCTTTTCCATAGAAAAATAGTAGACACTTCACTGGTATACAACAGCAGAACACACCACAGGTACAAACTGCAGGCACTCGCCAGCACATATCTCAAAAGAGAGATACAGCAGGAAGAGCACTCTTCAGTGGTAGATGCACAGACATGCATCGATCTATTGGTTTATTTAGAAGACTCACTGAATAATTGCAAAGCATCTCCTTTGGAGTATGCACGAATGAAAAACATATCCATCACCACTCAATATGCAGAAAATCAGCCAGTAAAGAAAAATAAAACAGTTGCTCCTATAGCATACGTGTTTGCATCAGATCTGCCACAGAAGGTATCGAGTAACACAGTAATCGTACAGCTTGTCAGAGAAAACAATCTGTGGACTTTGAACATAACTAACACATAAAGGATCATTAGAGAGATAGCTTAGAAGGAGTAAGTGAGAGGCAAAGTAGCAAATTGGATGGAAGACACACCCTAGAGTAAAAATCAGAAAGAATATATGCAGAATGGGCAGTGATATGAAGAGAAATGCAGCTCTTTATTCGCTATTTAATGAAAGTTTTTACTGGAAGCAGAAAAGAAAAGACAGTATAAAATAGATTAATTTATTCTGGTATTTCTTAAGAGCATTTCTCTGCTGGCTGTAGATAAATTAGTCGAGTTTCTGCACAGTTATCTTTGCAGTTCCGTTGGTCAGGACGATTCCCAGGTCTGCTGCTCTCTTGACTATGTCTATTCTCTTCTTGGCACCGACTGAGCTGGATATTTCTCCACAGTACACTCTGTTCAGGGAGACTAGTGCTTCTAAGTCTTTTATGTTGTAGATTATCACCTTCTTGAATCCGTTTGGGAGAACGTGTCTTACCAGCTTGTCTGCTTTGAATCCAATAGTGGGCATGACCATGGTTCCCTTGACCTTTCTTCTTACTTTGTTGTCAATACCTCTGGGTTTTCTCCAGGACTTGCTGAGTCTCTTGAACTGGTCGCTCTGGAACCGGTTGAACTCTCTCTTTGTCTTCTTTACTTTTACGAATCTGACTAATGGGGTAGTCTGCAATAAGTCTTCCATGGTAATTGTCTGGGGCTAAAAATATTTTTAAAAAAAGAAATATTCGTGCGCTCTCTTGCACAAAAAAGCTAGAAAAAGCTACAGACTGCGCAGCCACTGGCTGCTATCTGCTGACCATCCAACGAATAGAGGAGATATAGAGAGCCCACAGCTCTTTTGGCACATTCTTAGATCTATGAAGAAAAGCAATACAAACGGTGACTGAAGTGGCCAATAGCTGTGTAGAACATATGAATATAACTGGTGGCTGTAGTTTGATGTGATATTTGTCTATAGATCTATAGATATCTGTCGATGGTGCGCTATTCTTGTGTGAACATTACTTTCTATGCAGCCTACAGAGGGCTTAACTATGAATAAAGAAGTATCTGCTATTTTTACATTTTTATTTGCATCTTTGATAAAAAATTTAATGGAGCTAAACTTAGAAGAAACAGCAGATCACAGTGGAAATACTGAAGAAAAATCGCAAAAAAATAAAACAGAAAAGGAAGAAGATCATGAAGGCGCTCAGCCAGATAGAGAGCAGACTATCTTGGAAGAAGGTGTAGGACTTACACAAGAGAGCGCGAACACTGAAGGTGCCGAAAATGTTTTTTCTTTTTCATTGGATAAAAAAAGTCAGGAGAAGCCTCCTGTAGAAGAACCCGCAGTTTTATCCCAGAACGGCAATATGTTTGAAAGAGTGAACGCAATCGTGTCTAAATATGATATTGGGTGGCATGAGATGTACGAGCTTCCAGAAATGCCCAACCTGAGAAAAGCCACTTTTATGTCCAGAATTGTGCTGGAATTAGAAGAAAACCCAGACCTCTCTGATGTGGATGTTATACAGAAAGCACTCAGTGCCACCGAAAGCATCATCAACACACTCGTGCGAGTTGGGAAGGAAAACGCTGAGATCATAGATGTAAATGCATACTACAAAATTCTAGATGAATATTTTTTGAATAATCTATTATCTAATATGAACAAAGTAGATGAATACGTGATGCATGACTTATGCAAGGCAATAAACGCACACTCGGCTTCCTCAGAGCTCTATAAAATATACGGTCCTCTTAACGGCATTAATTATTCAGATATGGAATGGGGAGACACAACAGGAGCTAAAAAAGCATTAGTAAGCAATGACGAGTCTGGTATGCCCAGAATAATCCGAGTGATGGAAATACTGAAAATGCACGGAGGGAGCCTGTCTAGGTATAACAAAAACACCAAGACATATGAGACCAACTTTGATGCTCTAAACCTGTCATACGACGACATGCTGTCACTCTATATCTTCGCAAAAGAGGCAGCATATGGCATGATTCTTATTGGCATAAGAAGTAGCAACACAACTTTTTCTTTCCAAAATGGCTCAGCAGAAGAACAAATTGCGTTTATAGATAAGCTCTTCCGCTTTCTAACCAAAGGAGAATGGAAAAGGAAAAACGATGACTGGGCTAATGATATATCTGCTATGTTCCAAATTAAATACGAAAATATGTATTTTAGAGATAGCTTAGAATGCGTGAAATATGGAGTATACCCTTTGGAAAACTTATATTGTGGCAAAGAACACCTAAAAGTGTTTAAATACCAGTATAAACAGTGGCATGATGCAGTGCGTGATCTCTTTAAAATAAAGTACGAGAATAATAGCCAAAATCACATAGATAAAATATTGAGAGAAACAGAAGAGGAAATAAACATAATATTTCCTGCAGTAACAGCAAGACCAGCAGAGCCAGCAACAGCAACAGGAACAACAGCAGGGCCGAATGCAGAAGGAACAACAGCAACAACAGCAAATACATTCGCCAGACAGCTGAAAAGAAAGTCAGTACTGAATATTCAGCTAGCATGTGTGGTGGTGTTTGTAGTTCTTGTTATTTTGGTTAAACTGAGTGAGTATATCTTACTGAAAAAACTAGAAGTATAGTCAGATCGATTGCTATCTCTAGCACTGATTGCGCAGATAGACAGTCCACACTTACAAAGAACAGACAGTCTAAAGACACTAGAGTTGTACTGATGGTCTAAACCATCTAAATATAAATAAAATATGATATACAACAATCAACTGAAATAAAATCCGCTTTAAGCTCAAAATAGTTATCTTCTCACCAACATTGTAAACTGTTTATCTCTAGTTCTATTTTTACCTTACTGCCAAAGGAGTTGAAGAGAACTGTAGCCATAAGAGTTTTTATTTATTGGAATTTCTTACGGACAAAAAAGCAAAGAATGTACGAAAAAATAAAATGTGTATTTTTATTAAAGCTGTCTCTTGAAGAAAGTCTTTATTTTCTGTGCTAGCTATTATCTCTATCGGGTGGGATTCTATAGCTTTTCTAGCTTTATCTCTATAAAGCATCTATACATCTCTTTTTGAGTCTTCCTGTTTATCACCAGCTTTCTGTCTTCTTTGTACTTTACTATCCTAAAGAGGCCTTCGATCTGTTTCTCTATCTCGCACCTGCTGAAGTAGTATACGTACGTGTCATCTCCTCTTACGTACAGGTTTTTATCCAACACTTGGCTCTCTTTGAACCGCAGCTGCGTCAGATCCATTTCATAGTAGTCTTTGAATATAACTATCCCTCCTGCCCCCAATGTCCTGTGCATCAGCCTAAAAACAGATGGGTATGCAGATGGATGCACAGCTGAGAGTGTATAGATAAGGAGAATGATATCCACAGAGTCCAAGACTTTTCCACCGAATGTAAAATATTCTCCTACTTTCGTAACATCCCCGGGCGCAAAGTGAGAGGCAAGTCTGGGAATGCAAGACTGCAGTAGCCCAACTGCTGTCTGAGAGTAGTCCATCCCGTATACGTTATTGCACTTTAGCAGGTCGCTGTCTGAGATATCTATGATTTCCGCACTTTCATCTCCATCACCATTTTTTACTTCATTATTATTCGCACTAGAGCTATTCTGCAAATAGTCGTTCATTCTGTCTAGTCTGGCTTTTATCAGAGGAATCAGAGTGCTCCCTGTTCCGCACCCTATCTCCAGCACTTTATTCGAATGAACGAGTAGCTCTGGGTGCTCTTTGCTTATCCACTGCCTCTCTTTGAAGAATGTTCTGCTGTATCTTTTGTAGAACACATCCCACGGCTCATAGGATATTTCGTACTCCTTTTTTTCCTGTGCATTGTCTCTTTCTATTTTCATCTTTGCCTGTGCCATGTACTCTTCGGGCATTTCTGCCTTGTCCCACACGTTGTATTTGTATTTGTTTTCTGTTTCTGTTAAGACTCTCATGAGATTAAATTAAGAAAATATTTTAATATTCATGCTCATCGGCCTATTAATTGTACTGTGCATAGTAGCATCTAAGGTAGCGATTTTCTACTTCTACATGCGAAGGAGCAGACACGAAAGCGCAAGCCCGTCACCCAGAAAGCCGCTTAATGTGCTTGTTTTGAACAGATACGGGTGTATTCCAAAGGAGTACATTAGCAAGCTATCTAGCAAGTACAATGTAAAGTTTACAGTACTGGAGGGCCCTGTTAAGTCTGAAGAGTACGAAGAAAACCACAGAGACTTTATGTCCCAGATGAACCCCAAAGATGGAAAAGTGGAATATTCAGAAATAACACAGTTTATAGAAGAAAACAGGACAATATTCCCGGACATTGTCATTCTGTGCTCTAATACAACGGTGTTCAAGACATCCCTGCCCTATCTGCTATACTCTGCAGAGACACTCCACTATAGACAAGAGTTCTCTGAGAGCGTCCTCAAAAAGGCGCTTGCGCACTACGACAGCTGTGAAATAAGAGATGGCAAATAGTCCGCAAGATAAACTCACTTCAAACACATTTCTACAGAATATCTGTTCAATAAATTATTTTTGTTGCCCATCTATAATTACTATTCTTACAGTTGCAGAACAAAGTACAGCGAAGTTGTTCTTTCCAAAGACTGTATATCTAGTATTTCTAATAAATTTTATTTTGCATTTATTTTTATTTTTTCAAATGTAAGGTATAGATTATTCTCACTTATTGGCATTTTCACCTTATCAAATAATCAGGCAGGGGCTCAGATGGCAGTATGTGGCTGTGCAGTGCTTCTTCTATCTGGTAGTGCTTTGATGAGAGCTTTGCTATGTATCTACACAGTCTTTCGCTCTTTCTCCACTGGCTGCCTGCGCTTTTAAAAACATTCACCATCCTTACCTTTGAGAGACCGTGTATGGTGTACGGAACAGTTGAGTCTATTAGCAGACCGAACTTTCCATAATACTGGCAAGACTTTTCAATAGCAACTAAATTGTCTATGTAGTACTCTTCGCTTGGCCTGCTAGAGAGTCTGCCCTTTTTGTATCCTTCCTCGAGAATAAGAGCTCTCTTAAGAACGCCCTTGAACTCTTCTCCAATAACTACGCTAGATGCTTTCAGGCCGTATGGCATAGAAACTGAAAAATCTTCTATTTTTATCTGGCACTCTTTGCTCCCCACTGACACAGCGATAGAAACATTCCATCCTCTTCCGCTTCTTTTTTCGCTCTTCTGGCTGTCTCTATTTTGGCTCAGTTTACCTGATTCTTCGTTGTTCAGTGAACTGCTGCTGAATGCATAGTTTATCCTGCACTCTCTTTCTTCAATAGCATCCTTCTTCTCTTTTGATGCTCCCTGCCATCTGAATAGCAGTATTCCATCGCGAATAAACACTTCTATCTCTGAGTCAGATGAAATGGCTCGTATGATGCTCTGTCTTCCTGTAAACTCCTTTTGTATGAGGATGGCATAGACAGTCAGCGGCTTGTTTGGCACACTCGCACTTATCAGTGAGTTCTCTCCGAGAATCAGCCCTTCTTCGTTTTCCGTTTCTCCGTCCAGCTTCTCCACTAATGAAGATGCCAGTAGAGTGTCTGGAATGGGCCTGCGTGTGACCAGTCGCAGTAAGTATACGATGTCTTCTTCGTTGTTCAGAAGATACAGCATATCATCCTGCAGCATAACCGAGTTCAGTGATCTGATGGTGCTCCCCAATGAAATGTTTTTTCTTGCTTGCGCAAACCAGAAGGAGTCGTACCGAAGCTCGTCCCGTGTCTTCAGCTGCATGAGAAACTCGTGCAGGCCCTTTATATCAGACTTTAGCCTATCTATCTCTCTTCGGATGCACTTAATGCTGAACAGATCAGGATCATACTTTGCCAAAACAGGAAGCAATCCTGTGCGCTTGGATATTCTTAATAGCTGCTTTTGCACGGCTGGTATTTCTCGGTAGTGGTTTAGTATGTCCAGAATGTGCTCTATTCTCTCTGATCTCTCTGGGGCGCCTTCATTAGATGGAGCATACGGCGATTTAGTTAGTGATAGAGCGGCTAGTGCTCCTTCCACAGCTTTTACCACAGACTGCATGCCTTTGCTTTCTATCATGTCCCATGTTGTCTGTTTTACCGTGTTGGACTCGCTTGGGAAGTACATCATAAGGATCAAGCCTCTTTCAAGGGATTCTAGTGAAATATTCTGTGCCTGAATGGCTCTCCTGCAGAACAGCCTGATATTCCACGGAGACCTAGTGACTGTTTCATTCCCCTGCACTTCGCCTGTCTCCTTGCAGTGCATTTCAACTACTGTCTTTACAACCTGCGTGAATGTCCCCTTTTCAGCGCACAGTACACCGAAATAATCACTTCCACACAGCAGATTAAGTGTGCCCCTGGGAATGCATGATATTCTGCCAATGCACAATAGGCATGACTCAGCATAGTCTCTATCTATGATGAATGCTGTCTTGAAGAAGTATTCAGCCAGCTCAACGGCTTCGCCCATGATTATCAGAGACTTGGTAAGAGACTCAGATGCCACCGGGTTGTATTTGGAAATATTTTGCAAAATTTGAACTGTGTGCTCCACATTCTCCTTGTGATACGTGCTTACAACTATTTCACTCAGCGCCTTCGTGGTTATTTTGTTTCTTCGATGAGCCTGAATGATTGCCTGTGCGTGATAGAAGAGAAAGTGCGAACTGCTCGCTCTAACTATCTCTATCGCTGCATCAGTGTCTCTTATTTTTCGAATTTCTGCTGCAAAGTATTTTTTCTCGTCTATATTTGGAAGGTAGAAAATATCTCCCTCCAGCTCTCCGGGAGACTCTTGAACCCAGTGGGTAAAAATTTTCGCCTTTTCAGCGGAAGATTTCGAGAGGGCATAGAGCAGGAAGTAGAAGTAGTTCAGCGGGAGTGCAGGCTCTTCTGTATTTTCAAGGCCGTCAAGCTGCTCTGAATCTAATTCTGTTTTATCATTTGATGCACTGGGTCTTATCTGCTGTTTCATCAGAAGGGAAACACTTGGGGCGTATATACCGTTTATATTCGCTAGTGCATATGCGCATAGATCGCATCTGTTGCCTGTGAGGATGTTTTGTCTTAGGATGTACTCCTGCGCCAAAGACACTAGCTCTCTAGCGGGAGGGAATAATTGGCTGGGTGCTGCATAGTCTTTAACGGGCTCCCATTTGTTCTCAGAGAGAGCCTGCGATGAGTCTAGATGGGAGAGCCATCTGTCTTTGAACTGACCGAGGAACAATCCGAGCTCAAATATCTGGAGAAGTATGGAGTAGTCGGTCTCTGATAGAGAGTCAGATCGAATTATTCTATGTGCTATTCTGCAGAGAATGATGGCTATTCTCTCCATTTCTGTGACAACTCTTCTGCTACTCCCAGAGAACAGAGATTCCAGTTGTAGCTCAATGGAGGGAGCATCTGTGTTTGTGCTTGGATGCGATATTTCACTGCGAAGAGTCTCCAGTCTGTCCAGGCACGCATCTACGGGGCTGATGGAGTCATCTGAAGCGTCAATGTCTGTGTTTTCTTGTACCTCTGGCACTAAGTGTTTTCTATTTAGCATATTTGAGTATTTCTCTTCTGCTCTCTATTTATTTACAAGATGAGACAGTGTTTGAGCGGCAGCCTATTGAATGGTGATTTTATGAAGCATGCACAGGCACAGTGTGCTCCTTCTCTGTGAGGCACTGGGTTATTTTTATTTTTATTTACTATCATCTTATCAAATAAAAATAAACACAACTCTATTTATTCTAAAAAAGATACGGGTTTCTTCTGAAATGTTATCAGATGGTAAAGTGAGATATACACTCATTGAATATCCTATTCTTTCTATTACAGCACTCTTTCCTTTTTGAGGTTTATTATTGCCTGATTGCTCTAAGCGCCTGCTGTAAACTATCATATTGCCTAAATCTGTTTAGAAAATTAAACAAACAGTTCTCCACTCAGTGACTGCTGTATTCTTCTATCAACTCACTGGGGAATAATTTAGCCTATTTTTCAACTATCATTAGCACAGATATAATGAGTGATGAAAACAGTGCTAAATCGTCTGAAGATTTAATGTGTCCAATACAGGGTCGTTCTCCTGCACTCTGATGAAGACAGGAGGAGTGCCCTTTACGTGCATTTTCTCTTCTATCTTGAACACGCTTATTCCAAAGTGCTTGCAGAACAGCGGTATCAGCTGGTACACTGACGGGTCATTATTGCCGGTTAGGAGAAAAAGAAGCTTGGTGTTTCCTTTTTGGGCTTCATACTCTTCCATTAGCGTGTTGTAGTCTACCGAGTATCTGCCGATTGAGCCAGTAAGAGGGCTTATCTTCTCCAGAGAGACTGCGGGAATATTTGACAGAAGGTCTATTTGTCTTCTTCCTTCTCTCTTTTTCATTTTTCATGGAAAACAGAAGACCAATAAGAATACAGAAGAAAGAGGAAATTCTTCGAATTAAAGAGACAGCGCCCAGCGCAGAGGCTCCTCCGCGAGAAGCAATCCCTGGGAACATATACTCATCGCACCCTTCCTCGAAGACCCCTGAACACAGCGTAGAGTCTGACAGTGCAGAAGAGAACACCCTTACAGAGGACTCAGATGACCAAACTCCGTACAAAACAACAAACACTTCAGAAGATGAAGATGGAGAAGAAAGCAAACTCTACAAAACAAAAAAAGATAGAGTTGCAGACCAGAAATGCCATAAAAAGAGAGCTGCCAGCAATGTGCAGAGATACTTTTCTCTCTATGCCTCTCTGCTTGTGTCGGTGGCCGTGGGATACTTCCTATACAGGATAAACTACACATGCCACAAAAACATACAGATCTTGGAGGATAACAGCAAATTACTTTCAGAAAAGGTGTCAGAGCTCGAGGCTTTTCTGCACAGTAAGCACAAGGAGATAGACGTAGCAGACTATCTAGAAGGCGCCAGGATAATCCACGATCTAACTACTGAGTCATTTTCAAAGGCGCACTGGATCAGGCCAGTCAAAGGGCTCAGTGCTGAGGTAGCAATTGACAGAGTGTGCACGAAGCACCACTGCTACTCGTTTGGAGGAGAAGAGGGAAAGCTGGCAATTGCTTTTAAAAATGAAAAAATAATCAGAAAAATAGGAATTCTCCATCCGCTGTACGATAACAGACAGTCAGCCATAAAAAAATTTACAGTTGACTGCATAGTAAATAACGAGCACGTGAGAGTAGGAGAGTTTGAGTACGAAATACCGGGAGACTCTTTCCAGCAGTTCGTCATCCCCGCAACCAAGTGTACAGGAATTATATTTAGAATAAAATCCAACCACGGAAACAAAGAGTATACTTGTATATACAAAGTATACGCGTTTGAATAAATTCACACCACTTTAAAATCTCGATCCATTTATAATTCGCAAGTTCAGAGCACCTGAAATAGCAGAGATAGAGAGAACTATCTATATTTACATAAACATCGAAGGAAACTAGAGAAGTGCACACATAAATGAGATGTAGCACTCGTTCTATAGTGCTATGCACTGATATCCAATCACTCCAGCGCTATTCTTTTGGGAGACGCATTTTTTATGCTCCATTGTAAGTACCTATCAGCTAGCAAAAACCCAAACTTGATAGATGTCAGCACGAACAGAGTTATTCCACTGATGGACTGGGCGAGCAGGACATCTTTAAACGACCAGAGCACAATAAACGCAGAACTAGCCAGTAAACAGCCTCCTGTTCCCCACATGTTTATCACCAGATATGAAAGAATAAGAATTTTAGATACAACCGTGTTATCAGACATCAGATAAAGAGAAGATGCAAATCTAGATATAAAAGACAGTATTTCACTGGACACGGTTAGATTGTAGTAGAGGATGTCTATTTCCCCTGAAAGGAGCCTCCTGTGTCTTCTCCACGAGTGCTGGATGTATGTGTTGTATATTCCCAAGAGAATCGTAAGTATGTACGCTGAGTTAGACCATAGCAACGTAGCCATGTGCACGAATGCGAGCAGGCTTATGTGGTATAGATAGAGAATGGAAAGCATCTCATATACTACCACGTATATGGCGTACTTTTGGTCTACTGTTCTCTGCAGGAGAATTCCCCTGGAGAAAAGAAAGAAAGTGCATATCTTGCTCAGGAGAAGGAATAGGAAGAGATCTTTATTGCTGTTTTTAACACAGGCTGCATACACTATAGAAACGAATAGAACAGTAAGGGAGCTGTTGCCGAGCAGAAGAAGCGTGCTTATGTTGTACATTGTTATTGCAGAAGACCAAACAGATATAAATAAAAATGAAACAAGATTGGAGATGATTGGTTCTTTAAGATAAAAACAAAACAGAGTATCTAATAGATGAAAAGATAAGATAGACACTAATTGATTACATAATTTCTACTAGTAGACTAATAACTGATGACTATAACAGAGAAGTGTATATTGGATTATTGTAAAACTAATTTTCTTTTTCATTTGTATTTTTATTTTTTATTTATGTACTCAAATGTTTAGTTTTCTTTGAATTTCAAAAGGGTTTTTATTTATTTATTCAGGAAGAGTAAACCATTCAGAGAAGATGTAAGATGAAAAAGAG